ATCATTCAAATGCTTCTCCAGCCTCTTCTGCTGTCTCATTCTTTGAAATACATATTCTATTCTCTAAAAAACCCTAGCATTTAGACGAAGGAAACAAATAATTTGTCTTGATTACAAGACACCATAATATTTGCTTTAAGTTTCCTGGAGTTGAATTACAGAACAATCACAGTGCTTTGAGCAATATGTGACAGGCTTTTCTGCAGAAATATTTTGCTGAAACTAATGGTTCTTTCAAAAGTACTGGGGATGGGAGAAGGTATGCTAGAAAGTAAAACTGTAACCAAGCTAGCTTTTCAAAAGTGGGGTGGGAGAGGGGGTGAGCTAACCAGAATAGAATGAATGACTTGAAACCAAATAAACAGCTTCCATATAACATTTCCCTCAGTTTCCATTAGAGTGCTCTCCCCATGGTACTGAACTAGAACTGAACTAGCCACTGAACTAGCCAGTAAGAACGTGTAAACCATCTCTTTTCCCACACATATGCAAAACTGCCACAAAGTTAACATGGTGGAGAAAAAAAACCCCAGGAAAACAAGAAAAAACAGCAGTAAGACAGCTCATTGTACACATCCACAAGGACACTATTTTATGCAAATTTTGTTTTGCTTGGTATCCTTATATAACTTCAAGGGAGTTGAGCCATTCCATATGGCCCTGGAAAACAGTCTGCAAGGACAAATACATATGTCTGCCTTGGGCTCCACCTGCTTTAATATACGAGATATTTATTTGGCACTGTGGACATTTCTGGCTGTGTGCACATTTTTAAGTAACCTTCCTTTACATAAGCATTTGTACTGGAGTCACCTCTAGCATTTCTAAGGGAAATTATGACACTAAGCCTTAATTTAAGAAAAGTATTCCTAAAAGGGTTCACCATGTGCAGGGAGCAAGTGTCTTCAGAAGTGCTCCAACACGAGGATTACATTTTGAGTGTTGATGGATTCTAAGTAGATCATACCAGATGGAAAATTTTACATCCCAACTGCAGAACTATATTACTAGTTGTTCCTGGCTCTCTAAAAGCACTACCAACCCAAATCTATTCCCCCTCGAACAAAGGAAGCTTGCTTACTGCTACTGCAGAAGGTTCACATGCATGTCACTGTCTATCTTCAGTGAAGAAATACTACTATTATTTACTCATGTGAATTTATGAAGAAACTGAATTTTCTTAGTATCAGATGTACAAGAAGATTCTCCCATACTTCATAAGAGGACTTCTCCCTAGTGACCACGAGCACTTGAGAAGTAAAAAGCACTTGGGACACCCTTGAAGGAAGGGTAAGTGTCTGCTGTAATGTTTTTAGTTCACTTCTTTAAAAACAGGTCTGCACACATCCCAAATAACATTTGGACTTAGTGAACACGAAAAAGTTTGCTAGCTCTAGGTCATGACAGATGAAACTAGGTGTTCTGTTAAATCAATCAGTTGAAAAGATGATGTCAAAATACAACTACTTCTGTATTCTCACCAAATCATTTGCACTGGCATCAGCCAGTTTCTGAAGCAGAACTTGGAAGCTACCAAAATAGGCTGCAGCAGGAATTACAGGTGTAATACAGGAAATAATCACATAAATATCTTTGTGTAATTCAGTTAAATAGCCAATGGGAAGACCTCATCCAGGCTCAATTAGATCTGCCAATCCCAGTGGTAGCTTTAATTGTCATTATTAATGCCAGATGCCCTATGATATTCACAGTACCAGAAATATGTATCCTACAACATGAACAAAGAGTTGTTGCAACTTTAAAGCTGAGAAAACAGGACCTCGGAGGCCAAGCAATAACAAAGTTCTCCTCTTGCATAAGTCCACCTTAAAAAAGAAACAAAGAATTGCAACTGTCTTGATGTAACATTTCCAGGCACGTTTCTTGTCTCCTGTATACAGTGAGGGAAGACAGCCACCTTCATTTTCTCTTTTTCACATCCAAAAGTAGTCTGTGGCGCCAACAGCTTAGAAAAATGATACCATGGGGCCAACCAAGGAAGAGCTGCTCTCTCTGCCTCCTCTTTGCTGGAGAGAGACAGGAGGGAGACAGAACAGCAACACTTGTGCCTGAGCCCTCCCAGGAAAACAGAGATCCTTCTAAGCAGCATGACTTGCTGAAATGCTTCAAAAGCCATGATTTCTGAGAGAAATCAGTAACTCACAGCCAGTTTCTTCTGAAGTGTGAGGATCTAAGCAAGAGGGATAAATTGTAAAGGTTACTAAACAAGCTAGAGAGAAGCATGTATCCCTTTTAAGGACAGAAACAGTCTTTCCTACCACATCAATTTGTGTCAGTTTTAGAAGCATCTGGGTATCTTGTGCAGTCTCACCACAGTCATAAATGAAAACTGTTAGGCTGAAACCTAGAAACAAGCATTGCTTTTTTGTACTTAGTTTTCATTTGTTTGTTTATATATTAGCAGTTTATTATCCTCCTACAACTTACACTGTAGTGACTAAGAGTCTGTGCATGTTTCTAAACTTTAAGCAGCCTTTAGCAAAGAAATACTGCTTCTCACCTAAACCAGCAAGAGAATGAACATCCAGTTAATTCCTCTTCCCCTGATCCTGCTCCAAAACCAGGCTGTCTGCTTTATAGCATTATGTTGAACAGGTATTACTAGAGAAGTATGCAGTCTTACAAATTTAAGAAATCCCATCTCACCTGAATATGGCCTAATTTAGAAATCAGTTCCTACCAAGCCAATCCAGCAAAGAGGGTTCAACAAAAGGCTGAGGGTTGACAATAGTCTCCATTTTGAGTACATCAGTTGTCTATCACATATAGTCAAGAAAGCATAGTTTAAACACTTCCACCGTCACTTCCTACAGCAATGCAGTCATGCTTTATGATTTTTTTGTTGGGGTTGGGGGGGGAAAGAAACAAAAGGCTTCTTTGGTCTAGAATCTCTGTATCTGAGTGAAGGATTTCCGAGAATTAAGGAGTGGGGTTTTCTTAAGCCAAAAAGAATAAACAAAATATCACCTTACTTACTGCTCAAACTACCCCAGTGATCTACATCAAATATTTAGGTAAGACTACTATTTATTGCCTCTGCACTGTCCTCACACATACATACTGTACTGTATTTGCTTCCAGCATCGCCAGCTGAAGTCTCATTTCAGTGTGCACAAATATTAAGAAAAATCACACCTAGATGCTTCTCAGAAAGGCCATTTGGTCAGTACATACTATCTCCTCCCATAAAGCTGTGATGGTTAATAACATTTTCTGTACATATTCTGTCTTGCCAACAGAGCTCACAAGTTTTATGCTGCGGCACCTTTTTCAATGTTGAGATGTCAATTCCAGAAGCTTGTGCTGAGAGAGAACATGATTAAAGACTCCCAGCTTCCTTACTTTCCCTAAATTAAAGGTGGAAGGGAAGATTAACTCACAGAAACTACAATTTCTGCATGAATATTTCTTAGCAAGTTCTCCATGAAAAGCAAACATCATCTGCCTTGTCTATGCTGATTCCTTGTGACCAACTTACACAGCTTTTAATTTCTGCAGCTACCAAAAAAGTTCTCTATACCTGCTCCACAGTTTAACCACAGAATTGCAGAACCATTTAAGCTGGAAAAGATCTCTAAGATCATTGAGTCCAACCTTTGACCAATCACCACTTTCACAACCAGGGCACTGAGTGCTACATACAGCTGTTTCTTGAACACTTCCAGGGATGGTGACCCTACCACCTCCCTGAGAGCCCATTCCAAGGCTTAACAACCTTTTCCATCTTCTTCCTGAGGGTGTGTCCTCTTGCCACATTACCCCTATGCTGCTTGTGAGGTATATCACTACTTCCTTTTCCTCACTAGTTTCTGCCCATTCCCCACCATCTCCAGAGCACATGGGTCCCACATAAGAGACTGCTCAGCCCATTCAGGTGACTTGGACACCTGAATTACTCAGCCTTACTGTTCATGTAAACACATTCCAGCCACAGGAGCAGCAGCAGACTTCTGGTTCCTGGATTTCTTCCTGGGTTTCCTCTGGCTCCCACAAGCAGTTGGCATTTGCACACTCATGCACCTACAATCACTTTCGTAATGAAAAGACTTCTTATCAGCACCTTTCTTGTAAACTTGCTTTCCACCTAGTGTTTCTTTGGAATTGGGGCAGTAAGGGGAAAAAAAAGCCCACCAAGAAGAAACCTCCAAGTCTGATAACAATGTAGGCACCAGACTTTGATGCACTGTATTGCACGCTCTATCATTTCCTTAGCAGTCAAATCCAGCACTGCCAACAGACAACTAACCAGAAGGCTGAGCAGCCTGAACATACTGAAATGTCACCAAAAAAAAATCACAGCAGTTTCACTTCCTCAGATATATAATGAAATTAAGAAGAAATGAAGTAAAAAAAAAAAAAAAAAAAAAAAAAAAAAAGACAAGCCATGTTGTTCATTATTATTAGTTACTATGTGAAAGATAATTTCTGCATTAGCTGTTCATTTAACAGCCCAACATTTCCATAAGGTTTTGTAGGAGAAAAAAGAGAGGAAAAAAAAATTTCCAAGCCAAAGCCCTATCAGATATGCATAACTTCAAGTATCTCCACTGCAGGACTCTGGAAAAAAAAAAAAAAAAAAAAGGGGGGGGGGGGTTTATATACACAGAGCTTTCTGTTAGGTAATGTTCTGTTAAGAGGAATGAAAAGTAAACCTCAAAATATACCCAGCATCAGTACCATGGATGTTGCACCTCTACAATGGATAGAGAACCCATCCTGGGCTGGTCCTAGGTGTTGCACCATTGGAAGATGGTGCAACATAAGTATTTTCAAAACACTATTTTCACGTACAGCCCTTTCCCCAAACATCAGTGAGACACAAAAAGCATAGAATAGAAGCACTGTAAGACATGATCTGAAAGTGACAGTCTTATCACTACTAAGACTGTGATAATTCAGTGGTTCTCCGCAGTTATGTGCTGCACATATCTGCTTTTTCCTATTATTTATAATCTTTGCTCAACTTATTGTAACCTTACCCTTTTATTTTTAAGGAGTTCGGACCATAAAAATACTGGAAACTCAAGAACTGTTCCGAAGATGCAGCATCCAGTGCTGGCAACAGAAAAGGCGCTCCCGCCCCTCGTTCATTCACCTTGTAAAGGCCAGAAAAACAAAGTATGCAGCCCGCATCCTAAAGTTTGCACGGCGGCTGGGTCGCACTTAACCAGGCCGGCCTTTAACAGGTTACATCCGAGCGAAACCATGGAAAAACACGCGGAAAGAACCCGCGCACGCCGCTCCGGCCGTGACGGGGGACGCTGTTTGGCTGCTCCGCTCCGGGATGAGGGAGGGGAAGCGGCACCTCCAGGAGCCATCCGCCTCAACACACACACAGAGACTCCTCGGGGAGCGTCCCCCCGCACAGCCCAGCGGTGTAGCGGGTCGGAAATCCCCGCAATTAGGGAGCTGGCCGAGGGGTGGTTCGCGCTAACCCCGTGGGACAGGGATGCGGGCACTTACAGCTGAAGAACCCCACGAAAAGGAGCAGCAGCAGCGGATTGCGGCTCGCCATCTTCCCGTACCGGCGTGGGGCGGTGCCCGGCGCGCCGGGGGCTCCGCGCCCGCGGAGCTGATGCAGTGCGCGGCCGCGCTCTGCCTCCTCCGGAGCCGGAGCCGCCTCAAACTTTTAACGTGTCCGAGGAGGCGTCTCCCCGTTCCCAACGCAGGAGCCGGGGCGGGGATGTGCCCTGGACACCCGCCCGACAGCGCGGAGCCGCGGCGGGATGCGGCTCCGGGAGCATCCCTCTCCTCCACCGCCCCCGCAATGCCCCCGCGCATCCCCCGGACTCTGTTCTTCTCAGCACTTCTTCTCTCCGTTTTGTTTATTTTTAAGCTGTGACATCTTCATAAACTCAAGGACATTTGTTGCAACAGGATAAACTTTTCGTTAGGAAAAGATTGAATGTCTCTAAGAAAAAGCGTTGTCCCTGTCGGTGCGTTTCCCTCTAGGCAAATCCTCCCAGGGAGGAAGGAGGGATAACGGGGTGAAATCACGGAACAAACATTTGGATATTCCGGCGAACAAAAAAAGCCATGTGAGGGCGAGGCGCTGTTTTAAGGCGAAAGAAGTCACAGTGACTCCTTGTGTGCCTGTCTATACAGCTGGATTGGACAGAATCCCACCTACAGGAGGAGATGGGTCACACGGTGACCTTCAAAACGTTTTTATTATGTTATTATTTTATACCAGAATATGAGAGTTTTTTGTTAAATATACAGGTGGTGTAATAGTTCTTTAAATTTATGAATCAAGGAAAATTACTCATCTTGACAGTTAATAGTGTATGTGAGTAGTTTCCAATGACATCTTAAAAATGCATTACCACTGATGTAAAGCAGTTCTATAACAAGAAAAGTATCACAAGTTGGGTTTGTTTTTTTTTTTGTTTTTTTTTTTTTTTTTTTTTGTAATCAGAACAGCAATGATAGCTATATTTTGTTAGAGGGCAACAAAATGAAGAAAGATCATTTATAGATAAAATCTCTAACAGCTATTTTAATGGAGAGCAAGGAAGTAGGATGCCATGATGCTCTTCATGGCAAAATCTTAGTTAATTTTTCACGTGGAAAAAAAAATGTATACAAGTAATATTTCTTTTAAAAAATCTACATACATATATGTATTGTATGTATGTCCAGTATATATTACTGGTATCATGACATGCATTTTATAAAATCAAAACTGTCCCATTGAAAACAGAAAAGTTTTTTGTGTGTCCCAGCACATCATAGCTTTAGGCAAGTGCAAAGGTTCATTGATTTCAGTAGAACTGCTTTACTATTTAGTCAGACAATGATGGAAATGTTGTCTTGATATCACATTTAAATATGGCAAGAGTCTGGTGGAAAAGTTATAAACATGGGGAATGTTAAGAAATGGCAGTATGGAATGAAATTAAAGGATAGGCAATATAGGATGTTATTAATACTGATGGCTGAGGAAAAACTAACATGCCCTGGCTGTGTGTGCTGGAAGCCCCAAAACCCCTCCTTGTGCTGGCTGCATCCAAAATCCAGTAGGCAACAGGGAAGAGAGGGGATTCTGCCCCGCTCTGCTGAGACCCCACCTGCAGGGCTGCATCCAGCTCTGATGTCCCAGCACAGCAAGGACAGGGACCTGCTGGAGTGACTCCAGAGGAGACCACCAAGGTGATGGAGGGCTGGAGTACCTCCCTGATGAAGACAGGTGAAGAGATTTGGGGTTGTTCAGCCTGGAAAAGAGAAGGTTGCACGGTCAACTCACAGCAGCTTTCTAGTATCTGAAGGGAGGCAGGAGAGGGACTCTTCATCAGAAAACGTAGTGACAGGACAAGGAATAATGGGCTCAAACTGAAAGAGGAAAATTTAGGTTTATACATAAACCTAAACCTTACAGTGAGCATGATGGCATGGATTGCCCAGAGCAGCTATGGCTGACTCATCCCTGAAGTGTTCCAGGTTCAAGTGTTCAAGTGTTCTGAGCGACCTGGTCCAATGAAAGGTATCCCTGCCCATGGCAGGAGGTGGAATGAGACGGACTTTAAGGCCCCTTCCAACCTAAAGTGGTTGGAAACTTTGGGTTGGAAACCCAAACCTACTTTCTGCGATTCTGTGATTCATTAATGCAGCTCTTATACTAGAGCAAATCCATTCAAGCATGAGGCCAGACTAAAGTTTCTTTCTTCTGTTCACTATTTTATTTCTCTTGCAAGTGAAGCAAATTCCTAGTGTTTCCCCCACATTTCTCTGTTTCTAGTACAGTTCATATTTTCTTTTCATTCCCTTCTTTTATTTCAGTAATGACTAGATTATGGTTTTTCCACTTGCTTTATACTACTACAGGAAACACCAGCAATTAAATGTTAGTATTTTGAAGGTACTTACAGAATTACTGGAAAAATGGTTGTAATACATATAGTTCATTTAATATATACGCTTTTTCTCTATGTACTTTGCTCAACAATTGTATTCTTAAAAATACTGTTAAGTACTTTGTTAGAAGGGCACAAGACTGCTATCCATATTTTTTACCTTTTAAAGTTGGAGTAGAAATGTTTTCATCAAATAACACATAGCGCCCAAAATGGAAGAATTTGTTTGAGATGCTCACTTTAATAGTTATTCTTGGAGAACTTACCACAGACATTCCTTTTTAGAATAATAAAAATAGTCTATAATTAACATCTGCACACAAAATGCTAATCAACAATAACTATCTTACTTTGTGACGGCTGTTCTAATCAAATTCTTTGTATAGAAAAGCCTTGAAAAATTGAATGTAATTGCAACATGATTTCAAGATTTGGATGTCTTGTAACAATCCCAGGAATATAGTTTTTGCTATAATGGGCAAAACTCCTTCATAACAATGTTTAAGGCATGAACAACTTCAGTCTGTGACACACAGTTGAAGAGTTCTGTTCTCCTCATCTAACAGAAAAACTGTTTTGAAAAATAATTTGTAAAAATTCAGTGAAAGACCATAAGCCTCTGGCTCCTCACTTGGGAAACATTTTATCTTTCCTAGCTGTAGAATGCTAAAAATGAATAAAGAGAAATTAAGTTATATTAAAAGAATCCTCCTTTTGGTGATTTCTCTACTCAAAATGTATTTTATTTTGCAGAGGGGAATAAAACCCCTCTAGATTTATTCTTCTACAATTAACATGCTGATTTCTAGAATAGCTTTGATGTAAAATAACAGCAATAAAAAATCAGTATAACAAATTAGAACTGCTAAATTTGGTTGGAAAGGTATTGCAATGCAGATACTCAAACCTATCACAGATAGATTACCGAGGAAGATGACTGATTCTGCTTCTCAAAAACCTGCATAGAAGAGGGGCAAAAGTGGTGAAGCTGTGCAGTACATGAAGAAAACTCACTGTTTAATTAGCACCTTGAAGAGTAAGATGCTAATTTCTATGGAATCCCTTCTCTGTTATGGCTTACACATGCCAGACTAGAAGAGATAATGAATGTTCATCCCTTTACTGCCATTAAAAATAATTTTAGAAAAAAGTTTAATGAATGACAATGTTTCCCTAGTCTGTCACATTCAGGCATATCTCGAGTTTACTCATTGAATTTAAGAAGATTAAATAATGCAACCCTCATTCCATATAAGAAAGCACATATTTTTATCCCGTTGATAAGCAGGTAGTATAGATGTGTGGTGATCTGGAAGTAGCTGTTCTCTTGTTTGCAGAGTGAAATGCCAGTGAAAGCATAAAGGATTACAGTTCCGTGCTGCTTTCCCTTTTTCTTCCTACCATGATTGCTCTTTAAATGTTTTAGTGTCTCTTGGTTCATCTATAATAGAAGATAACCCAGCAAGTTTGTAGATAACTGTGCCTGATAATGATAAGAGTAGCAGTGAGGAAGATGTAGAATATGGAGCCACAAAGGGAGAAAATGAAAGACACAGAAAAAAAGTGTTCATGTGCATAAGCATGCCTATCATTCTTTATATGGACAGTTGAGAGCTTACTGTTATTGGAACTTACATGGTTCAGGCTTTGATCAAGAAGACACCTTAGAATATGCTTCCATGTTTAACAAAGAAGAAACAGATTTTTCCATATTTCTAAAAAGAGAAATGTTATGTTTGAGATGGTCAGAGGTACCATTTGAGATTTGGTGCCACAGCCTGTGCATAATATTTCTGTACACATTTTTTCTCAGCACACTAAATTGTTGTCACATATATTTGCTCTAATAAATGCTGAATACAGTAGCACACAGCTGTGAAGTGACCATTCTGATGTGATTCCAGGCATAGCTATGGGACAAGTTGATGGAAAACTGTTTTATAAAACTGCTAAAACAGACTCCAGCTAATTTAGCTCAATTGCCAATATGCATATTTTACAATCAATATCACATTTTTTTTTTCCTGAAGTCCATTTATTGATGTGCTATGCATTTTTTTTTGGGCAGCTTTGACTGCCAGCCTGCAGTACATTGAATCTATCAGCTTGAAAGCCTTGCCCTTTAGTGTAAAGAATAATCAACAACCATATGTAAGTGTGTGGACAGGCTGATATTTCCAATTTAAGGGACACATTTTCTTTTGCAATTTTAGTTATCATCGCACCTGTTTTTTTACAATGTCCTGGGGTATTGCTTTAATGGTTGCCACTCCCCTGGCTGTAACCAGGGCCTTGTCTCCTTTTGAGTTCCGTGGCATTTTATTACTTTTTATAGCTGCTTCATTCAAAATGTTTTAACTCACATCTGGGGAAAAAAACTGATTTATCTGACAAATTA